ATACATAGAGGGATTTAATTGTTCATATTTGAGGAATGCAGGAAGAAGTATACAGGAAATGATATAAATAAAGGATATAATGAGATGTGCATATTTTAGAGGCATAATAAAGTTTATGGATTAAAGAGTCTAAAGAGATGAGACTACCTGAAGGGAAGTATGAATGAGTTCAAGCAGTCACATTGAAAAATCTACAGCAAATGCTAGCCCAGACCAATACCCCAGGAGGTATTTGCAAGCGAATGGGATCATCCTAGGTGAAACTTTACTAGACTGGAGTCAGTAATCCACACTAATAAAAGGGAAACATGCAAATTGACCATCTCTCTGCTACGCCCACCAGCCAATCAGGGCGAGTATGCAAATTAACTCAATAAAGATGGCAGTGGCCACAGAGCTGGAGGCTTGGGTTGCCTCTGGCGACGGAGGAAGCCAAGCTTCCCGCCCGTCCTGGCCGCCGCTGAAGGAGTGGCTGGGAGCATGGGTCAGGGGCGACCCAGGCTTCCAGCTGGCCCTGGCTGCCGCTCAAGGAGGGGCTGGGGGCCTGGGATGCCGGGAACCCGGGGAGGCGGGGTGGGCCTAGAGCAGGGGTGGGCAAACTTTTTGACTCAAGGGCCACAATGCGGATCCGGCCCACAGGCTGTAGTTTGCCCACGGCTGGCCTAGAGGCTTGGCTTCTCCGCTGCGGCTGGACCAAAGGCCTGGGTCCCGGGTGCCGGAGGAAAACCGGTGCCAGCAGCCAGGGGAAGGAAGGCCTATTGTGTGAATCTTCGTGCAATGGGCCTCTAGTTTAGATAATAAAAACATATGCTTTCACTTGAAACATTTGAATAACTACCCTAATTCTCTGCTTCAATTTTGTAAAGCTCAATCAGAAGTAAGCTCAAAAACTGCAAAAGCTGCTGTTTAGGTTATATTTCCTAATGGGATAGGGAGCACATGCCTGAATGACCTAGTAGGTAATGTAAATTTGACTACAACAAAATGCATAGGGATCCAGAGATAGTTCATGTGGATCAACAAATGGAGCTGAGCCAAGGGATCTAGCGTTGACACTAATTTATAGATGCTTATCTCAGGGTCATGATCTCAGAATCCCCACGTGGAGAAGGGAAGGGAATCAATCATTTACTAAATTTGAAATATGGCAGCTTAGTGCAAACTAGATGATTTACATATATTATTTCCTTTAATAATATCTCACAATGATCTTATTGGGTAGATATTATTCCTATTTTTATGTATGAGAGAAATAAGACTCAGAAGGGTTATGTAGCTTGCCCAAGGTCTCTCAGCAAGGTAAAGAGTATATTTGATGGCAAGTTCCTGCTGGTATACCTTACTTGCCTTTTCATTATTTTCTGACAGCCCCTGAATCCTCAAGAGGAATTAATGAATTCCTAGCATGAGCTGTGAACCATTTTGGTGAGGACCTCCTACTGTTTGAAATCAAGAGCTTCTGAGTTTCTTCTAGAGGCAGTAATTTCTGCCTACCTTCAGGCAATTATCTAACTGTAAGTCAGAGACAGGGAGAAATACCTCTGCTGTGGTCAGTATTCTAAAAGAGACCACTGTTTCCAAATGAGTTCCAACATCAAAGCTTAAAGTTTCCTTGACTCGAATTACTTAAGTCTTTTGTGGAAAAACAAAGATCCAAGGTTAGAGATGCTAAAGTCTTCGATCATTTAATCTTGAATAAGAAAGCCTAGAGCTAGTGATCTAAAATAATATCCTAAGAAAACATAACCCTTTCTATTGAAAGCTCATAGTTTTTCCATTGTTAACTAAAAGAGACTGGGAATTACAGCGAATGGTGCCAGAATATTTTAATCTGCTTTACAGTAGCTAGTCCAGTACCAAATGTGAAGCTGTAATTTATTCATGCAAAGCATTTCATAAGCAAAGAAAACGAATCAGAAGTGGCAGTCTTACATATATTATCCCCTGTTGTTATACCAGGTATGCCTCTCACAAGAAACCAAAGGAAGATATTTATAATCAATGGAGCGCTTGTTCCTTAAAGGCCTTGTTTGCAAGTAGAAGCTGAAAACAGTAGAAATGCATTTATAGCCAAACCAGATGAAAACAAACAATACATACATGGACATCTAGGCACTTGCTTTGGAAGGATAATTTTTAATATTCTATTAGACAATAATCCATGAAGTTAATAATAAAGACCTAAATCAAAATTATAGCTTTGGGAATAGAAAACAAGGGATGGATTCAAGAGGACGTAGAAACAGCAAGTATTGTAGAGGTAAAGAATATAAGTTTAGTTTTGGCCATGTTAAATTTACTAGCAGCAAGCCCTGCCAGTGTGGCTCAGTGTTGAGCGTAGTCCCATGAACCAAGAGGTCACGGTTTGATTCCTGGTCAGGGCAAATGCCTGGGTTTCAGGTTCGATCTCAAGTGTGGGGTGTGCAGGAGGTGGCTGATAGATGTTTCTCTCTCATTGATGTTTCTATTTCTCTATCCCTCTCCCTTTCTCTCTCTCTAAAATAATAGAAACATATTTAAATATTTACTAGCAGCATGTATACATTTGGTATATAAGTCTAGAGCTCAGGCAAGGTCTGGGCAAGTGATATGGATTTAGAAATCATTTAATAGGTAGCATTTGAAATCATTGGCATGCATGAGGTTATCTGAAGTGCATGTGCAAGATGTGAAAAGGACCAAAAACGAAAATGCTAAAGAAAGCTTATATTCAAGGAATGGACAAAGGCAGGCAAGCAAGCCTACAAAAAAGCCAATAAAGGAGACAATTATCTCATTGTTTCCCTGTCTCTTCTGCACTATACGTGAGATTCATGGGGCAGAAGTGTTTTATTCACCTTTGTCTATCCAGGACTTAACATAGTACCTATCATTTGGTAGATGCTTAATAAATATTTATTGAACAAAATTAATTATGTTTCTATATATGATGATGTTTTTTAAACACCTACTTAAAGTGCATAGGCCCTGGGAGGTTTAATTATAATACTCTCTTGCATGAAAAATTGAGTTTGATCCAACTCAAAGGTTGAATGCACACTTCATCTTCATGGGTGGAAGCACTTGACAAGAAATTTAACCATCCATGAAGAGTTTGCTAACTTATAAGTGACAACTGATTTGATGAACCAATGAAGGAGAAACAAGCACATGAAGAAAAAAGAGAATCCATCTGACAGCTTTTTTTCGTTTGTTTTTTCCCCTAGAAGAAACTTATAAATGGCCACTTTCAATTCCATTTTTTTTTCTTCCTTAAAAGGACTAAAATTTCTGCTTAAATGACTTGGCATACTCTGAGATTTTTCTAAAAACTGCTGTTAGGGAAAACTCCCGTGAAATTCCAAGGCCAGAGATGGTTAATTTATGTTTCTAATAGGTAAAGTATTACTTAAAATTTTTTCCAACTTAAGTTTACATTTATATTTTCTGAATATGTCTTGCTGTTGATGTATATAAAAATATCTGAATATTCTACATTTAATAATAGCAAAAACCTATTTCATTAAAATTGATTTTGAAAACACTTAGTTAATTCCTAACTAATTCCTAACTCTAGTGAGCTTCTAATCTTTAGATCCTTTAATGAGGATTAATAATAAACCAAAAGTTTAAGCCTACTGATATACATATTTAAAAGAATGCAAGTCAGAGATATAGGATTAGGGTGAATTATATAAAAACAATTTTTGTCTAAGTACCATCAGTGAACAGAGCTAGAATCTGGCATTTAGAATTTCACTAGTATTAGGCCTTTTAATTTTAACATACAGTGGGACCTTGACTTACGAGTGTCCCGACTAACGAGTTTTTTGAGATACCAGCTGTCTCTCAGCCGATTTTTTGCATTGAGTTGACAGAGTAACGAGCTCGGTCTCGGAACGAATTAAACTCATAAGTCAAGGCCCCACTGTAATTTGTTTGGTTATCTATCATCATTTTAAAAAATAAATATTTTTATTGATTTCAGAAAGGAAGAGAGATGGAGAGATAGAAACATCAATGATGAAAGAGAATCATTGATCGTTTGCCTCTTGCACGCCCCTGACTGGGGATTGAGCCCACATCCTAGGCATATGCCCTCACTGGGAATCTAGCCGTGACCTCCTAGTTCATAAGTTGATGTTCAACCACCAAGCCACTCTAGCCAAGCTCTGTCATGTAGTAAAAAGAATGGAATCTTGAGCCTTAGTCTTATTCCTTTTCAGCTGTTCTGAGTCTGAATTGCCTTGCAGAAAAATTAGGGTGTTTGTATAGATACTCTCTAATGTTCACTGAAGTTAGAATATTTTATGATCGATGAATAAAGTATTTTTTAAAATCAATCCTATTGTGTTGTTTTTATCTGCATAACAAAAATAACTAAGAAACTATATTTTATTGAGATTGCACTAAATATAACTTTCATGCTGAATTTTTAAGAAGGGGGTTGATTAAAAAGTGAAAACACTGGGGACACCAACTTTCCATTGTCCTTCCACAAACTGGTCTCAATTTGCTACTGAACTAAAGGGCAGAGAATAAGAAGATAGACGAAGCACAAAAACTGAGATCAGACTGGTTGTTCAGTGATCCATTGATCATTTAATGTAGTTTTTACATTTAAAAACATATTTTCCACAAAGGAAAACATGATTACAAGATACTTTAGTTATCTTCCATTTCTAACAGAAAGGACATCAGGAAGACTCAGAGTTAACTATTTTCCTCACTCAGTGCTAACAACCCTCTTTTTGGTTTATAGTATTAGTATTTTGATGAACAGGAGAAACACTGCTACTTTATTCATTTTTTTATTTTTATGAAAAAGGAAGCTTTATGGATGTTTTACTCTATATACCATTAAGGCTGATCGTAGAGTTGAGTAGAAATAAGAAGTAAAAAGAATAATGATAATAACTGTGATAATAATTAATAACCTTTTCTTTCAGGAAACTGTTTATTAATGGTCTATGAATCTTACTTGGAGAAAAGTGAAAGGCAATGGACAAATATTCCAGTACCTCGGTAGTTGATGATTTCTGTCCCAAGCACCGGAGTCATCTCCAGGACTGTGATGAAGGCTTTGTCCATAGATGTTAGAGGAAAAGGAGACATGCGGTGTCTTCTAGCCACCTTGGTGATATCAACAGCACTGTGACCTAAACAGGAAGATAATTAACTAAGAATATGATGCTGAAACACTGATTAAAAAGTGGGACTGACTCATAAATATCAACAACCCTTGGTTTCTTATATACCCAAATGAAGAATACAAGATGAGAAATTTTCTCTTGCCAAAATATAGCCTTCTTTGGTGGAACATTACATCAAGTTAACAACATTACCTCATGTGTCAAAACATGGTGAACTTTAAAGATAATATTGCCTAATTCTTTTTGTTTTTTTCTTAAATGTCTTTTTTTAATTAAAAACTTTTAATATTGACATTATTGCAGGTATCCCCCTTTTATCCTCCTTTTCCCACATATACCCCCCTCCCCCGGCTTTCACCATACTATTTAATTCTTAAATTTCTTTTTTATTTTTTTATTGTTTAAAGTATTACAAATAGTAGTACATATGTTTCCCCCCCCCCCCCCCATTTGCCTAATTTTTGTTTTTTTCTTAAATGTCTTTTTTTAATTAAAAACTTTTAATATTGACATTATTGCAGGTATCCCCCTTTTATCCTCCTTTTCCCACATATACCCCCCTCCCCCGGCTTTCACCATACTATTTAATTCTTAAATTTCTTTTTTATTTTTTTATTGTTTAAAGTATTACAAATAGTAGTACATATGTTTCCTCCCCCCCCCCCATTTGCCTAATTCTTTTTAAAAAATATTTTTATTGATTTCAGAGAAGAAGGGAGAGGGAGAGATAGAAACATCAATGATCAGAATCATTGACTGGCTGCCTCCTACATGCCCCACACTGGGGATTGAACCTTCAGCCTGGGCATGTGCCCTGACCGGGAATTGAACCACGATCTTCTGGTTCATAGGTCGATGTTCAACCACTGTACCACACCAGCTGGGCTGCCTAATCTTTTGTGCATGTTACTATGTGCCGTGGCACTGGTCTAATTTAACTTACTCATCACAAGAACCTTATAGGAAGGCATCATTATTATCCTTATTTACAGATAAGGAAAGAGAGGTGTAGAGAGATTATATGTTTTGGTCTAAATCACAGAAGAGCCACAATTCAAGCCTATGTAGCCTGGCTTCAGAGTCCACGTGCTTAATCACTACACTAAACTTTGAACATTTAATGTGCTAGTTAGTAAAATGCAATACCCAAACTTGATCTTATCTAGGATTTCATAGAAAATTTTCTTTCTTCTGAAAAGTCATAGAAAAAGGTTATTACTTAGCTACCCCCTATATAACCTCATCTAGTCCCATGAAATTAATATCACCCATTCACTAAAATTCCTAATTTTATATCTCTAATTCCAACCTCTACTGGTGACTCTAGGTTTGTAGGCCATGCAAATAGCAGTGGATAAGAATTTATATAT